CCCTGCTCCATCCAATCAGCATTCTCCCTGTGCCCTGCTCCATCCAAACAGAACCACATCTCTCAGCGAGGCCCCGCGGGAGCACACTCTTAATACAACCATTTTACAGATGGGATGGTTAAGACCAGGGAGGCTTAGTGTGTCTCGAAGACACATGGAAGGAGAGGGAGGACTTGAATCTGGAGCCATGTTTTAGAAACAAAACAAAGCAAAAACTGTTCTCTAAAAAGAGAATAGTTTCTTGAGTTTATCTATTTTCTTTTTTTCTTTTGGGATAGTAGCCTAATTAAAATTTATTTTACATACACACAATTTTGGTTTTTTTTTTTGAGACAGTTCGCTATGTAGTCCTGGAACTCTCTCTGTAGACCAGGCTGGCCTTGAATTCATAGTGGTCCACCTGCCTCTGAAGCAAAGGTGTGTGCCAGCAAGCCCAGCCATCCTGTAGTCTTTTAAATTGTTTGAAATGATGCTGGAAATGGAGCCTAGGTAGAGGCAATAGGTTCTATTTCTGGGCTACACCACAGTCCCGCATATATAATATACACCACAGCCCTGCATATGTAATATGTAATATATATTTTATTAATATAAAACATATATATATATATATATACTATAAAACAGTTTTATATTATGTTTAAGTGGGTGTGTACACGCCGTGGCAAGCCAGACCATCCTCTGCTTCTACCACGTGGGTCCTGGGGTTTGAACTCAGGCTTGGTGGCAAGCACCTTTGCCCACTGAACCATCTCGTGGCCCTACACTGGTGTGACCCCGTGATCTCTGGTTTACTGAGTTTTCAACTGTCACCACATTCTGAATTTATGACATTGCCATCAGTTCCAAAAGAAAACCCAGCCACTGTTTCTCCTCCCCCCAAACAGAGTGTCCCTCACCCCTCTCTCCTGTCTGCATACGACATGGACAGACCACAGCTGTTCTGGCATACAAACCTCATCTATGCCCACAGGAAGTTCAGTGAGAGTCCAGGAACTACTCACCCTGCTCCCCAAACCGTGTGGCTTGCCAAACCATGTGGCAGCTAATGCTTAATTATCTGGCAAGGCCTCATGTTGCCCAGGTGGACCTTGAACTCATTATGTAGCCAGGGATGACCTTGAACTTCTGATCTAGCCTCTATTTCTGCAGGGCTGGGATTACAGGCCTTCACCAGCATCCCTGGGTTTCTGTGGTGCTGAGGATGGAACCCAGGGTTCTCAAGTCCCGGGAAGAGCTCTGCCATCCCAGGGGCAGTGACCTTCATTTAACTTTATCACTTGCCTTCATTCTTGTCTCTTCTTGGTTCGGGGCAAAGCGACAGAACAGAATTATAGTTATGTGTTTGAGTGCAGGTTTGTCCATGGAAGTGTGGGTGCCCAGGGACCCCAGAATGGGGTTTCAGATCCCCTGCAGCTAGAGTTCTAGGCAGCTGGGAACTGAACTCGGGTCTTCTGCTAGGGCAGTAGGTGTTCTTAATGACGGAGCCCTCAGCCCGGGTGTTGCTGTCTGACCAGGGCATCTTCTAAAGCTGGTTCATCCTTTGCCTCAGTCCCCTCCTTCTTCTAGCAGCTGTGTGGCAGAGTTGAGTGCCTGGGATGAAAGAGCTGTGATTGGTACTGCCAATCAAAACAAGACTCTCCCCCCACCCACCCCCAAGCAGCTGTTTGGCACTTACAAATCAGATTGAAATTCATCCCTGGGGTCAGTGAGTGAGTGACAGGGCAATCAGATCCAAGCTTACTCTAAACAGGCCTCCGTTTAGACACATAGGGTGGAGAGCAGAGAGCAGGTCAAGAATGCAGACTGTAGGCCACTCCTTGGGTCTTGCAGGATTTGTTTAGCTGTGCTCCTGTGAACAGGCAAAAAGCAGGTGGTTGGGCAAAATTACATCTCTTCAGAAACCAGGGTCTTCTATTCCTAAGCAGCGTCTGGTGGGTTTGGGTGGCCATGAGTCTCCTGCTTGGCTTTCCCTCCCCCTTCCTAAAGCAATCCTGTTGGCATTTGGAAAGAATTTAGCATCCTTCCAGTCAATGCCATGGTTACACTACAAGCCAGGGCAATGGGCCTCCCGGGAGCCTCATCCCCAGGACTCTGGAGACACATAGTCAGGCTTAAAGGGTAATTCTGTCCACAAAAGAGATATTCCACTCCTTGGTGGACCCCAGGGACTTTGCTGCAGAAGGAAGCCAATAGCTTTTTTTTTTTTCATTATTAAATTATTGAACTTTGGAGCTGTGAAGGGAAGTTCCCAGAGCATAAAGGGCCGAGCCTGTGTTAAAGTCTACAAGGTCAAATGACTGAGCTTGGTGATTTTGGAACGTTAAAACGTTGCAGACCAGACCCAAATTATCTCAGGCTATTTTCAGTCCCTTTGAAAGCCATTCATTGCCCTCCTCTGTGTCTGACGGAACATCCTTGTGACTATCAGAACTTTTAAAGCATATTCTTAGGGGCTGAGGGATGACTCGGTGGTTAAGAATGTTCACCGTGCAAGCAACGAGGACTGGGAGGTTGAATCCCCAGAAGCTTGTAAAAAAAAGCTGCATATCAAAGTGTGTGCATCAGGAAGTGAAGACAGATAGATCCTGGGAGCTCACTGGCCAGACAGTCGAGCCGAGACCCTGCCTCAAGGCAGGAAGGTACCTGATGCCCTCTGGCCCCCGACATGTGTGCACACGGATGAGTGCACCTCTACATTCACCTGCACACCCCCCACACACAGACACACAGACACACACACACATGGACACACACACACACAGACACACACACGGACACACACACACAGACACACACACACAGAGACACACACACACAGAAACACACACAGACACACACACACAGACATACACACAGACACACATACACACACAGAATGTATTTTTAGCAACCTCCTGGCTTCCACAAATTCAAAAACCAAGAATGTAATCAGATAGCACCTGAAATCCAGGACAGGGTTTCAGAGGTAACCCACCCCCTGTGGCTCCCAGCAATATCTTTGGTAAATGCCTTGACTTATGACTTTCTTTCTTATATAACTAATAAAACCTCATACAACCACTTTGGCAGTGGGACTTGGGATTTGAAGCAACCTGTATTATGTTCATAAGCCTCTCGCATTCGGCGCCAGAATAAACTATCTCTCATTCCCTTTGAGCTGAGAGCTGTATTTTCTTGTCGACAGATCTGAAGTCTTTGAGGGTTTGATACATGTGACTGTGAATGACGCATCCTCTCCACTGCCCTGGTGTTGGGAACATCGTTGACAGTGACAAACGTTCACTGCAAGGCAGGCCGTCTTCCAAGGCCTCCTGTGCCATCTCTGTGATTGGCAGGTATGTCAGCTTTGATTCTGCATGGCTAAAAGGGACTTAAAGCTGACTGACTGCCACTGTGAAGCTTGGTGAGTCAAACAGCCACCATCTTTGTCAGATCAGCCACTACCTGCTTACAATGGTCCACCATGAGCATGGTGGAGCACACCTTTAATCTCAATACTTGGGAGGCAGATGCAGGCAGATCTCTGTGAGCTGAAGACCAGCCTGATCTATAGAGCAAATTCCAGGCCTACACAGAGAAGCTCTGTCTCAAAAAAAAAAAATGTCCATTATTAGGCTGTTTGAGAACTGTTGACATTGTCTTACAGGAGACGGTGGGAAGGGTCACTGGACCCTCACCTGAGGTTCCAGCCATTTGTGTGCAGTTCTTCCCTAATGCTTATGTTTCGGGGTGCATAGGCTGGGCAGGGAGGGTTTTAGGGGAAAGTTAATGGAAGGGCTTCTTCACCCTGACTCAAAGCCAGCACTTTGCTGAAGCTGTTGGTTTCAAGAAGGCGCCTAAATAAATGTCTTTCTGTGGTCTGTTGGCCATTTCAGAAATTTAAAAATGTGAATGGTTAATTCATTAGAAAGTAACATCTGGCTGAAAAAAGAAAGAAAGAAAAATGGAAGGGCTTCACCCATGCCGCTTTGGAGAAGCCATCAAGTATACTGGGTGTAGATTTTCCATGTGGCTGCTTTGGCGTCACCCACACTCACCCCAAGGTGAACTGTGGGGGCATCTACTCTGGTTTGTTGTTGGGATCTTAGGAGGAAGGTGCAAACATCATTTCTGTCTTCCCAGAAAGGGCTTCTCTCAGTACCCGAAGAGCCCACTGGGTCTGCAGGATGAAGCCTGGAACCTCTGGCTTCACTTCGGGGCTGTCTCCTTGACTTTGCTCGGGCTTATACTGATCATACAGTGGTGTGCTCTTTGCTAAGGAGTCTGCCTAACCCTGATCATCCTCCCTGGAGGGTACAGGCAGAGAAGCAGGTCATTGCCTGCACACCTGTAGTCCCTTTGGATTCCAGGAACAGCAGAACCTCACCAGACAGCATCTCAGGGCAGAACAGTTATCTCGGATGGAAAGGCTGAACCTTCAAACAGGAAATCTTGGTGGATCCAGATGAGGCTCTGATTAATACTTACTGATCCACCTGGAGGGGCTTGAGCTAACAGTGATGGACAGACCACAGACCACCAGACTACAGACTGGGCAGATCTGGCCCTGACTCAGTTCCTCCGCTACTTAAACATAGAGTTCGTATCAGCACCTGCAAGACAAACTTGGGGTCACTGGACCTGTTTCCTAAGGCCATGGTTGAATCTGCTGTCTGTTTTCCACTATTGCCCAGCTGGTGAGTGGGTCTGGCCTATTGGGACTGCTGGAGCTGAGGCATTTGTTCCAAAACCCAGCTATAGTCTCTGGGTCAGGATAATTAGTGTGTCTGTGTCTGGATCAGAACAATTAGTGCCTGTATGTGTGCTACATGTGTATGTGTGCATGTGTGTGTGTGGTATGTGTGTGTGTGGTGCATGTGTCTCTGTGTGTGGTGCATGTGTGTGTGTGTGGTGCATGTGTGTGTGTGTGTGTGGTGCATGCATGTGTGTGTGTGTGTGTGTGTGTGTGTGGTGCATGTGTGTGTGTGTGGTGCATGTGTCTCTGTGTGGTTCATGTGTGTGTGTGTGTGTGTAGTGCATGTGTGTGTGTGGTGTGTGTGTGTGTGTGTGGTCAGTGTGCACGGAGAGCTCAGAGGGCAACCTTTGGTGCAGCTCCTCAGGAGCCACCCACCTTGATTTTTGAGGCAGGATCTCTCCCTACAATCTGGGACTTGCTAATGAGGGTGGCCTGGCCAGTCAGAGAGCTTGAGACTTCTACCTGTGTCTGCTTCCCGATGGTGTTATCAGCCTAAGCCATCACACTCAGCTCTTCCTCCTCCTTTTCTTCCTCCTCCTCCTCCCATTCTTCCTCTTCTTCTTCGTCTCCCTCCTCTCTTCCTCCTCTTCCTCCCCCTCCTCCCCCTCCTCCTCCTCCTCCTCCTCCTCCTCCTCCTCCTCCTCCTCCTCTTCTTCTTCTTCTTCTTCTTCTTCTTCTTCTTCTTCTTCTTCTTCTTCTTCTTCTTCTTCTGTGTAGCCTTGACTTTCCTATGTCTCTATAGACCATGCCTGGCCTCAAACCCATAGAGATCCACCAACCTCTTGCTCCTGAGTGCTGGAATTAAAGGCATGTGCCACCACTCCTGGTTCATATCCAGCTTCTTATGTGGGGGTTATAGGAATGGAACTTGGGTCCTCATGCTTCAAAGCAGGCCCTTTATCTCTCCCTTTTCTTGTTTTTCCTTCCTTCCTCTTTTTTCTCTCCTCCCCTCTGCCCTCCTCTCCTCTCCTTTGCTCTTGTCTCTTCTCCTCTCCTTTCCTCCTTCACAGAACTGCGGTGGAGCTTAAAGCCTTGAGTATGCTGGTTGAACACTACTACTGGATGGCATCTTCAGTCACAGCCCTGGATTGTTCTTTGCCATGCAAGGCTGTCCGGGATACCTAGGCTGCTGAGTGGCGCTTTTCCTCTACAGTGAGCATACCCCTCCTTAGGTGACAACCCAGTGTCTTAGACATTGCCAAGTCTGGAGGGAGCATCAGCCTCACCTAGAACTAGAGTATTTGAGGAGGGAGACAGAAACCATAGGGAGAGGAGAACCAGCAAACCAGGGGAGAAGCAGGCAGAGAAAGGATGGGGCAGAGTGGAGGGACCCAGGCTGGCCCAGGCTCTCAGCTCTGTGCTGTAGTGGTGAAGGAACCCTGGAACACCCCTTTCACCCTGCTCTGCCATCTGCAAATTGAGCATCTATCCCTCCGGAAGTGTCATAAGGAGTGACTTGGCTGCCTTCTGTGCACAAGACAAACTGTGTGTTTGTCTTGACTGTGCTGTTGACTTCAGCTGTGAGTTGGAACCCCTTTGTAATTCAGCCAGTATTATCTGGGCCCATCCAAAGATGATCCGAGTTCTTTTCCACTGCTGCACACTTAGCCACTATCAGAGCGGAAACCAATGCAAGGCACATGTGGGTAGAGTTGAGACGGGGTGGTGTGAGCCCAGGCACAGGTGACGGTGTTATAGAAGAGAGTGCTGTTTGGGGCTCCTGACTCCGGGAGTCCCTGCACTGCCCGCATGCCTGCATTCCTGCCTCCTCCTCCTTGGCAGCCCCTAGTCCAGCTGCAGCCCCTTCTGAGAGCTGGAGATAAAGTACTGTGTGCTAGTCTGTCCACGCACCAGCAGGAGAAACAGAGGTTTGTGTACACCCTCCAAGTCTAGATCAAGGGACTTCACTTGTTTGGGGTCTCCCTACACTGACCTTGCCTAGGTGGAGAAGCGGTTGGCATCTTGTATAGTCCCAGAGGCCTAGCCCGGTTTCCGGGGTCACCAACCCACAGCAGTCTCTCACACTGTCCCAGCCAACCCAGGTCTGCTCTTTGTCCCTGGCACTCTTGGTTAGGTTGAGAACCTGTGGCAATTTTCACATGCAGTCCAGCCATAGGGCAGAGTCAGGACCTGTTGGGAGGAGGTTCAGAGTCTAAAGGGATGAAGCCGACTAAGAGGGGCATGGAGAAGGAATACAGGGACAGGCTCTCTGAGATAGCAGCTTCTTGTTCCCCAAAATCCAAGACTAGAACCTGCAGGAAGATCCAGGGTTGGGTATCTTGATAGGACAAAGAGGGAAAGCAGAGATCTCAGGGGACCCCATGAAATGCCCGAGCCAGCAAGTATGTAACAGGCTCCCAGCCGCAGCCTTCTCCCATTCTGAATGGAGAATGTTGGGTTTTCTCTGTTGTTTGGGTTTCTGTCTTTTCTTGTCTTCAACTCTCTGTTTTGTGCCAGGGAAAAAACTCGACAGTCCCCTAGACAACCGCTGACACCTCCATGATGGGAACACTGTGTCCCCTTGCGTGCTGTGCCAGGACACATGGCTGGTTCTCATCTGTGAACTCTTGGGACTTTGTTCAAAGTTTCAGCTTTCTCTCTTCTACAATTTCCACCCAACCTCTTCCTGGCAAAATAAAACTGGCCTTTTAGAATGGGGGATGGGGAGGTGACTGGACAAGGGTCATCTAGACATTATTATTATTATTATTGTTATTATTAGGTGTGCGTGTGTGAATTTATATGTGTGTGTGTGTGAGAGAGACAGAGAGACAGAGAGACAGACAGAGACACACACACAGAGACAGAGAGAGAGAGACAGAGAGAGACAGAGAGACAGAGAGATAGAGAGACACACACACACACACACACACACAGAGAGAGAGAGAGAGAGAGAGAGAGAGAGAGAGAGAGAGAGAGAGAACAAGTGTCTCATGGTTACACATGGTGGTCAGAGGACAACTTTGTGGAGCTGGTTCTCACCTTCCATCTTTATATGGGTTTGGGAATTGAACTCATGTCACCATGAGCTTGCTTGTGTGGCAAGCACCTTTACCTGCTAAGCCATCTTGCTTACCCCAGACTTTAAATTTAAACTGACAGGCTCTACATGGTTTTGGAGTTAGGGAATAAACTTAGCCTCTCAGTCTTTCATGCCATGGCCCTCAATGGACATTAAAGGACACTTAGCTTGGGGTGTTCCTGGTATTTTTTTCAGGTAGGTGAAATCACGTTTGTTGCCTGCTTTGGTGGCTCGGTGAGGCTTGGGGAGTCATGTGGCTGTGACAAGGGCCTTTTCTTCTCTGATGTGCCATCTTAACTCTGACACTTCCTCAACCCTGCCATTCCCCTGCCATCTTTATGGTTGTCAAGGCAACAGTTTCCTGGGCAACCTGTTGACTTATTTGACTGCCAAGTTTGTATGATCGGGAGTTGGGAGCTGTAGTGGAGAACTTAAAAAAAAAATAATGTTGTCAAGGTAACCGCCAGCAGCCATTTAATTATAGTTTTAGGTAAAGATAAATTCTCTTTTGCAAATGTTACTGTATTTTTGGTTTGAGTAGGGGAGACTCACCCCAGAGATGAACGTTCTCAGAATTAGAAGCTTTCAAGCGTGGACAAGTCTGTAACTTGGTTTCATTCAGGACTAACTCCTTTTCTCAAAGAAAGAAGAAAGGATAAAAGAAAGAAAATAGTGAAAACAAAGAGCTAAAAATAAATTTGATGGGATGCAGGCACCAAGTGAGGTGGGGCTGGCGTTGCGGAGGCAGTGCCAACGCCTTTGCCCAGGCTTTTCTGAGGCAGACTCTCTCCTGATTTGGCAGGCAGTGTGGGATGGCGGTTATCCATCTGGTCTCTGAAGTCAGGCTGGCTGGGTTCAAATCCCACCTCAGCAACTCCTCAGCTTTTGACAGTGGACAAAGAGCTGAACCTGGATATGACTTCCCTCCTTGAATTTATAAAACGGGGAGGCAGGGTAATGAGTGAAACCCCAGGACAGGTATGCTGTGCCACTCAAATAGGCTTATGGGCGCTTCGATGCAAACCCTGGTGTAGCACAGTTGGGATCAGCCATACCTATAAAACTGAAGTATCTTTCTAAGCCCTGTGCTCTTGCTTAGCTAGAGTTGGACCGCCCCAGCCTGCAGCCCAGGTCAGGACACTGCTGTGTAACAACCCAATTA